TAATAATAATGTGCGAAGAAATATGGCCCCAGCTGGAAAAAATAAACTAATTTCAAGAATGCGTGAGACATGCTTATCTATTCCTAATGTTAACTTATCAAACTATTACACACACTGCGAAAGCTTTTTCGAAGCGTGTCTTAGGTCAGATGACATACCTCGACAGTAATTGGAAAATAAACATAATTTAAATAAAATAAAATTTTAATTTTTTTTAAAAAATCGAATAAAAAAAATATAAAGAAAACCTTTTTTTTTAAATAATATAGAATGTTGAGATTGCGCATGCGTTAAATGTTTTAATTGAAAATCACGATTGTTTTAATTGAAAATCACATTGTTTTAATTGATTGTCGCGGTGTTTTAAATGAATGTCATGGTTGTTTTAAATGGTTGTCATGATTGTTTTAAATAGATGTAAAAACCGGTAAGTTTATTTAACAATTGAAAATCTTTGTCATTTTATTAAGTTTATTTAACGTTAGATATTTTAAATATTTTATCGCAGATTTTTGCTTTTTTTAATAAAATAGTTCCAATTTAATATTGCATATTTTTTTAGATAGACTTGAACTTACATGCTGTAACTGACAACGCTTTTTTTTTAATTCTTTACAAGTTGACAACTGCTTTTTTGATGTTTCAACAATTTAAATGCAATTTAAAAAAATCGTTGCGTTACAATTTTACTTAATTTTAATCATTGATCTTTTTTAAAGTTTTTATTTTACGCAAAGTCGTAAAATTAAAACTTTAAAAGCTTTAAAAAACTTTAAATAAATCAAAACTTTTTAAAACTTTAAATAAAATCAAAAATTATAATTTAAAATAAACGCGTTATGTGTAAATTAAATGTTATATTTAATTTTTTTTAGTAGGTATGTATTTTTTATAATGAATTTAAACATTTGAAACTAATTTTAAAACAGTTTCAAACATTTAAATTTATCATAAAAATCTTTTATTAAAAGAATATTAATTTCAATTTACTTTAATTGTGAATAAGTTAAATTAAATCTTCCCAAGATTTAATTGCTATATTTTTTTGTTTGTTTTTAAAATTGTAATTTTTAAAATTGTAATTTTTAAACATTTCATTATTTGATTAAAAGTCAAGTTTAAAAAAACAACAAATTTTAAACAATTCTTTGTAAAATTGTTTAAAATTTGTTGTTTTTTTAAACTTGACTTTTAATCAAATAATGAAATGGTTAAAAATTACAATTTTAAAAATGCAACATTTTTTTTAAACAATTTTTTTTTTTTTTTTTTTTTGCAACTTTTTGAAAAAAAAAGTTTTAACTTAAAAATATTATAATTTTTTTCTTTTCAATAATTTAATTTCACTTTTCAATAATTTAATTTCACTTTTCAATAATTTAAATAAAATTTGTTTATTTATTAAACAATCAATACAAGTAATTTGTAAAAGCATTTTGCGTAACTTTAATAAAACGTTTTAAAAGTTCTAAAGTAATTTATTTCAATCGCAATTGAAAATGTAATATAAAGTAATTTTTACTTAGAGTTTTTTGAGTTTGATTTTAAAGCTTTTCATTTACTTTTAATTTACTTTTAGTTTTATATATTTTTATATATACTGAAGTATTTATTTTGTAGAATTTAATTACCTTCGGTCAAAATGTCTGATTACTTTGTAAATTGATCAGACAATTTGAGGTATTAGCCAGACAATGTCCGATGTCCGACCGTTAAATTGAGCCCTGTATATATATATTTTATATGTTTAATCGCACATATTTTGCAGATAAGTAATAATGTTTTTAGTTTACTTTGTTCATAAAATATAGATAGAAAATTAAATAAAAAATTATTGCAAAAAGAATAAACAGCTAAAAAACCACTACTATTTTCAAGCCTAAATTTACATTTTATGTGTACAAATTTACGATTACAAATTAAGCTTTTTTTGGTACTTTAACTTTTTTTATGACACTCCCAAAATCTTGGGAATTTTAGAAGACTAATCCCAGGATTTCGGGATGAACTATTTATACTGGTTTTGTTTATTAGTGAAATTTAGCCTGGGATTTCGGTATACCAGTGTCACGGGATTGCCATCCTTAGTTTTACAGTAACAATCTGAGCATAGTGTCTGTTGTCCGAAAGTTTGTAAAGCTTTTATCTAGTGGAATTGCAGCTAATGAATAAAAAAAAGGTCTTTCATTTTATTTATTTATTACAATAACTAATAAAACTTATACATAAAAAGTTTAATATTGATAAAAAGAAGCAACAATAAATTTTACTGTGCTGACAATAAACATTGCTGCAGCCAAAGTAGCATTATAAACATATTTTTTTAAATGATGACCTCCTAATTTAAATTTCAGTCATATTTAAGCAAATGCCGTAAACTTGGCCATGGCATTTCTGCAAATCAAATCTTTCTCTTATAAGGGATTGTCCATAAATTACTTATTAATTGTTTATTAGTGAAATTTAGCATCGCTAAATTTCACTAATAAACAAAACATAAACGATCTAAACGATCTACCTCTGCAAATAAACATAAACGATCTACCTCTGCAAGGTAAAACATAAAGTTTTACCTTGCAGAGCCTTATTTATATAAAAAATCAAAATAACGCATTAAGTTATATAAAAAATTAAAATAGCGCTTTAATAAAAATTACAGCGTAATTAAATCTCCTTCTGTTTTTTAAATAAATTTAATGTTGCGTAATTTATGGATGATCCCTAAATTAATTAACAATACCCGCCTTTTTTCTCTCTATGGCTACCACACAAGAAATGCGCTTTTTTATCTCACAGCTTTATTAGTTGTAGTCAAAGTGTAACAAGAAACGAAAAAAGTGATCGCTACATAATACATCTATCATCTTATCGAATATGGCAATATAGTGTCATGAAAAAGTTTATAATAATAAAACATATTCTTCGGATAAGATCTTTTTATATAATTATTCAATTAATATTCTGATATTTTACAGCTGTTGATAGAATCAGCTTTTCTGATTGCTACCGCAGAAGTCTGGAAACCTTACTACTAGCCTCAGAACTATTAAACTGAGTTTTAGAACTGTACCCTCATTAGTATATTACAGGAAGAGTTGCATAGTTACTATCAAAGAGGCAAAAATTTATGAGTAAATTCAAAAAGATCCAGCATTCATCATTCTAAGCAGGAAAAAATGTAACAAATGTTTACATCTATGCTAGCCTAATAGTTGAAGAAGGGTTGCAGAATGGCACAACTGTTCTGCTCTCCCTTAAAGTTTTTGCCTAGGAGTCCTTCTACAGTAGAGAAATAGTTAGCTGGATGTAATTAGCCCTGCTTTAAATTAGTATTTTTATCAAGACACCATCTCTAGTCTTTACTTAACTAAAAGCCCCAAGGCAAGGGTTTTTTAAGTCAGAGTTTATTTTTTGACCTTTGCCTAGAAAAGCGAATCATACTAGGCAGCAGGACATGGGGTAGATGTTACTGGATTACATACTACCAGTAGTAGGGTGATTGTATTTTTTTTTTGACTACATGGGAAAGTTAAACTAATTGGACTACTACATGACTACATGGGAAAGTTAAAGGAAAGGACTACTACATGACTACATGGGAAAGTTAAACTAATTGGACTACTACATGAAAAAACTATGACAACTACAAGAGAAAGTTTAACTACACAAGAAAATATTGCCGAAATTTTATGGGGATTATAGTTTTATTACCCTTATACAATTTTTTTTTTTTTAATTATCTTCGCTTCCAACAAAGCTGCAAGCAACCACTAATTAGTGTTGGAAGTTACTGGAAGAGAAAAGATGAAGATTCTAGAGCAAGATAATGATTGACAGACAACTTAAAAGATTGGAAATTATATGAATCAGGAAAGCAAGATGAAGGAAGCAAATTCCAAAGAACTGATGTTCAAGGAAAAAAACTAGACGAATAAAAGTTTTTGGAGCACTTAGGAACAGTAACAGAAAAAGGATGAGACTTAATTGAATGACGAGTAACACGAGAATGAATTTTAGTAGATGGCACAAGAGACGCTAGCTCTTTCGAGCAGTGCCCATTATAGTATTTGTAGAAAAGAGAAAGAGAAGCAACATTACGAGGATGTGACAGAGGTTGAAGGTTGGCTGCAAGAGCAGGTCCAACTATGTATTCACAATGCGTTTTTGCACCTTGTCTAAAAGAGAAAGGGCATCATTAGAAGATCCGCCTCAGATATGGCAACAGTACTCCATACAAGGCTGGATTTGAGATTTATAGAGATAGAGAATAGAATCCAGAGTAAGAAAGTGACAAACTCGATAAAGAGAAGCAACTTTAGCAGGTGCTAATTTTGCAACGGATTTGATATAAGGTTTCCAAGAAAGATCAGAAGTAAGAGTTAATCCTAGAAGATGAAGGGTAGGAGACTCATTGAGTACATTACCGTTCATAAATATAGGAAGGTCTAAACTCTTGCGATAAAGATTGGCCGAAAAAAATTGAGTTTTATCTGAATTAAAGTTCACCAGCCACTGTGAGCCCCATACTGTAGCCGAAGTGAGATCCTTTTCAAGCTCAGATGCCCCCTGCAAGCAATCAGAGGGAGTTGGCTTCAGAGGGAGTTGAAATAAAAACATAAATAGTTGTATACATTTTAAGTCAATTTTCATAAAACGATTTTATAACAGATTTTTTTTAAAAAAAAGTTTAAATTTTAATCTTGAAAATATCTCATTTTTTTAATTTGAAGTTTTGAATTTAAAAAGCTGTCATGGAAATATTAAATAGAAGAGATTTTAAAAGTTTAGAAAGTTTTGTGTTAAGCGGTGTTTTTAAGAAATTTTATCAAAAAATACTTCACTTAATTTAGAAATTATAATTAAAAAAACACTCCATATAATTAACTTTTTGTATCTCTTTTTTGTTATATTCTTATTTTGTTATTATATCTTTAATTAGAAAGTTGAAAGATTATATTAAATTTTTTTTTAAATAAATTGAACTATATATTTGCAGGTAGCGAGCCTTTGTATGAGTGTAATGATTGCTGTTCTTGCAGCTCATCTTGTGGAAATCGTATTTTTCAACAGGGTTCAAAAGGAGTGTATGAGGTTTTTGCTACAAAAAATCGTGGTATGGGATTAAGAACAGTAGAGTTTATTAAAAAAGGTGCGTTTGTTATAGAATACATTGGGGAACTTTTGTGCGATGCAGAAGCCCGATTTAGATCGGCTAACATGAAACCAACTGAGTCGAACTATATACTTGTGCTAAGAGAGCACTTCGGAGAAAAAGTTCTAAAAACATGTATCGATGCAGGTCGTTATGGTAATTATGCTCGTTTTATAAATCATTCATGCGAGCCTAATTTGTCCATTGTTCCTGTGAGATTTAACAATTCGATTCCACATGCAGCATTATTCTCTTTGCACAATATCGAGGCTGGTGAAGAATTGACATTTAGTTATGCAGGAAATGTACCCGAAAGTGTAGATGTCAAAGAGATAGAAATTAGAAAAAAATGCTTTTGTGGTTCTATATCATGTTCTGAAAAACTTCCATTTACTTTAAATGCTTTTAGTTAATTAAACATACATTATTTCTATAAAGACATTTTATGGTTGTATAAATTTTAATATGCTAGGGATTATTTCTGAGATAATATTTTTTATAATTAAGTTTTTTTTTTTTTTTTTTTTTTTTTTTTTTTGTTATTCACCTCCTCAAGGCCGAGAAGGCCACTACAGACGAAGAGGCTACTTAATAGTGGTTATAACCCTCTCTCAACTCTATAACTCCGAAACACGAACCTTGACGAACAAGGCCGCTGCGCGGAGAAACAAGTTGAGCGCGGTACTTCCAGGGACGTGGTGGGGATCGAGCTCGGAACCTCTCACTTATGAAGCGAGTGTTTTACCACTACACCACTACCACAAGTTAGTTTTATATTTTAAAAAAACAACGTTATAATTACTTTAGGCTTTAAATTCTTTTCTATTTTTGTCCCGCGTTTGTAAAGAGCTATTACCGTAAATTCGGTGACGCGATGAATAAAAATAGAGATTAGGTATACTAAGGCGGATGCAGCACACATACGTTGTTAAAACATTAGAACAATGCCGCGCGTTTCGTTGGCCCAACATCGGCTGCCAACGTTGTTTTGATATCATTATGGTTACAAATGCGATGTCGCCAACAACTAAAAACCAATGTTGAAAAAACGTTTATTTAAAGTCGGAAAATGGTTATATTTACTACGTTGATTCAACGTTTTATTTTATACGTTGGCCCAACGTTGTATTTTAAGTTGGCTCAACGTTGTATTTACGTTGATTTAACGTTGAACTTTAATAGGCAAAACGTTGTATTCAATATTATTCGGAGTTGAATTTTTACATAATTCTATTTTCTTTACCTAATATTATATTATATATAAAATAATATTATAATTATATATAATACAATACATTATCTATAATATTATAAACAATATTATGATATGATATTGATTACATTATTATAGATCATCCAAACAAAAGCCATGTTTATGTTGATTGTGGTTTGATATTTTAATAATCACGGAAGATTTTATTTAAGTTATATAATTTTGCAATAGCGCATACATTGGATCATTATTGGGTTTAGTTCCTAAAAACAATCAACTTTTTGCGATGTATTTACATACATTGGATTAACGTTGATATATATATATATATATATATATATATATATATATATATATATATATATATATATATATATATATATATATATATATATATATATATATTTATATATATACATTAAATCAACGTCGAAATATATACATTGGATCAACGTTGGATTTAGATCGTAAAAACAATCATCTTTTTGCGATGTTTTTACATACATTTCATTTGCGATGTTTTTACATACGTTTCGATATTAGGAAAATGCTGCTATGTTTAGGTACGCATGTGTCAATTAATTTTAAAAAGTTTAGAACTTTTAAAATGACTACGGTCCCTGACTACATCGAACATTTTATATGACAATCTTTTTTTTGTTGGTTTGTTATGAAAACTTTCTATTTTTATTTTATAATTAAAGTAAATTAGTAGATTAAATAACTTAGTTTCAAAATTGAACAAGTTAAACAAGTTGAAAATGACCTTGGCGTGATAAACCTTTAGTTTTCTTGGATGCTATTTTAATTTGAGTCAGTAATTTGTTTATTTTTTCAAAATCAATTTACTCAACTTCTAACCGTAGGAATTTGAAATTTTTTTTTTCAAATTTAACAACGATGTTTCTTTTATATATGGTGATTTTTTGGTCGTTGCTTCAACTTTTTTTTTCATAAAAAAAATATACTTCTGCTCATATGCATAGAAAGGAATTAGGCACACTTAATTATATCAGGGAAAAGGTCATGTTTCACTATACACTGATATAATAAAGTGTATTTTTTTTTTCTTTTTATAATCGTAATATATAATTAAAAAGAAAAATAAACATTAATATTTAGGGCATAGTTGTAAAAGCAGAAATATATTTTATATTCGAAAAAAAGTTGAAGCAACAACCAAAATCACAATAAATAGAAAAAATATAAAAGATATTAGTATTATATATATAAGATATATCCATAAAAAGGTACTTACACATATGTGTAAGTATGTACTGTTGCCAGACATAGTTTTAAAGGTTGTATGATTTTGGATGGAGTTACATAGCACAATTTATACCACATTTTTTGATAAACAATTTCCACTTATAAATGCTTACTTACCAATTATTTTATTTAGATAGCTCTATTATGATTTTCATTGCATATACTTGTGGTTAAATGTCAATAGATTCGAAAAAAAATCGATTTTTATTGTTGATTGATTTTTGATTCTTTGACACTTAAATTTAAAAACTTGGTACAAAGATTCTGAAAAATAGAGAAATCAACTATGTATACGATTCGATCAACTATTTTTGACTACAAAGCTCAATAGGCTACAAAGAAAAATAGCTTTAGGTTCTTGGTAAGTAAATTTTGAAAATTACCTTTCTTTTGGAAATATCTATATATGCAGGTGCTGGTTTAAGGATGAACCAATTTAGTATAAAATCATCAATATTTTTATCGTTTAATTTCCATATATATTTTGACAGCGTGGTGTCTTTTGAATACTTTTTATTTTTAATGGATTGCTTATGATTGGCAAAATATTTTTTCCATTCACTCTCTGTTGAGCTAATATATTGCTTATCAGGTACATTCTTAGAGAAAACAACACATTTATATACCACGTTTTTTGATAAACAATTTCCACTCATTGGACAATTGTTTTTTTATTTTAAACTAGAGTTTTCTGTCTTTTTTTCATTTAGGATTTCTCTTATGACTAACAAAGCATTATTGTGATCTTTTATAATTCTTTAAAAACTTTTTGTGCAACTGTATCTAACTTTAATTGTTTTTCGATTAAAAAATTTATGTAATTTATTAGAAGGCAGCAAATGCTTATCAACAAATTTTAAAAACACTTTTCCTATGGAAAACATTTTTGCTATATGGGGGTTAAACCAAATTGCATTTCTAGTCCTCTTTCCCTTTTTGGTATTCTTTTTTTTAGGGGTCATGTTTTGGGTAATATTAGTTAATATTAATATACAATAATGCATCGTTTGAGTTAATATTAATATTCAATAATTCATCGTTTGGTTTTTTAACAGGCTCATATGAATTTTCAGAGAGGTTATATGTGATAGAAAATTCACATTCAAGGCAATATTAAAAATTTTTATAGTACCTGTTCTAATTTTATCAAGTTGTGGACCAGATTTTTTACACATTGCTACAGGGTTGTGAAGTCGTAAAAAAAAAAAAAAATCGTTGAAATTTTAAGAGAACGACTGCGACTTCAAAGCAAAATTTTTAAAAAATTCGTTGAATTTTTTTTAAAAATATTGCGCGATAATTTAAAAAAATATTTTTTGAAAAATATATGAATTTAATAAAATTCTTTGAAGGTTAAATATTTTGTACACGCACACGCAATAAAGAGAGATTTTACTATTGGAGTAGGAGTTGCAATTTTGTTTATCAGATTTGAATCCGCTAAAAATGTTGCAACTCAAACTCCACAACCCTGGCATTACTATTAAACTATCATCATGATAAAGACCTAAATCATTAATACCGATTATTTTACTTGATAAATCTAAAATATAGTATGCAATAAATTTACAAATATCTGCTCCATCATAACTGCCCATTCCCAGCTAACATTTGGTCTAAAAAAGACCTCTTTTAGGCGTTTTAAAAACGTCTTTTTAAAACCAAATGTTTGCTGGGTTATTACATCAAAGCATGTCATGTATGTTTTTCTTTTTCCTTATTTTTTAAGTTTCCTTTTTAAAATAAAGTAATGTTTTTCTGCAATGTTTTATTATACAAATTGTCTTTTCCGGAATAACTGTGTGGCTTTTAGCAAATTCAGTTGTTTTATCTAAAATATATGCAGTATACTGTATATTAATATTAGAGATCGTCCATAAAGTACGTACGTAAGAGGGGGTCTGCAAATGGGATTTCTGAGATAAGGGGGCAGCACTTCAATCATAAAAGTATAGAGACACTAAATTTAAAAAAATCTCATAAAATGTTGAGTTGATAAGTTAAAAGCGTATGGACTTTTAGGGAGGTGAGGGTATTTAAAAAAGCGTTTTGCAAAATGCAGAGGGGGGGGGGGAAAGAAAACATTTCTAGTTTTCTTTCCCTTTTTTATATTCTTTTTTTGGGGTTAAATTTTGAACTAAAATTTAACCTTAAAAAAAGAATATAAAAAAGGGAAAGAAAACTAGAAATGTAATTTGGTTCACCACCCCATCCCCCATATAGCAAAAATGTTTCCACTAACATAGGAAATGTGTTTTTAAAATTATTTGACAAGAGTTTCCCACCTAAAAATTACATAAATTTTTAACTCGAAATACAATTTAAGTTACCTACAGTTGCACAAAAAGTATGGAAAGAGTTATAAAAGGTTAAAGATTGTTAAACATAAGAGAAATCCTAAATAAAAAAAAACCGACAGAATATTGTAATTGTAAACAAAAAAACATTTGTCCAATCAGTGGACAATTATTTTTTTGTTTACAATTACAATATTCCAAAATTAAAGTAATTTTAAAAATTTACTTACCAAGAACGTAAAGTTATTTTTCTTTGTAGCCTATTGAGCTTTGTAGTCAAAAATTGTTGATGGAATCATATACTTAATTGATTTCTCTATTTTTCAGAATCTTTGTACCAAGTTTTCAAATTTATGTGTCAAGGAATCAAAAATCAATCAACAATAAAAGTCGATTATTTTTTGAATCTATTGATACTTAACCACAGGTATATTCAATGAAAATTATAATAGAGCTATCTAAATAAAATAATATTTATTATAAATAAATAAGCACCTGCATATATATATATATTTATATATATATATATATATATATATATATATATATATATATATATATATATATATATATATATATATATATATATATATATATATATATATATATATATATATACATATGTATAGGTACGCGCACTGAAATTTTTAAATTGGTCATATAGTAGAATGTTATATATCATTAGAAAGGCCTTCAATACAGTATTTTAAAGGTGAAAAAATTATTA